TCTTCTTCCCGCTTCTAAAAACGCCACCGTGCTGCCGTCTCCCTCGGGTGCTGCGGAGGGATGGGTCAACATCCTCCTGACGGGGCTTTTGCCCGCGGAGCGCCGGGCTTTGTGGAAGGGGAAAACAACGCAACACACTTTAGTATAAAGGGGGCAAACAGACCCTTTCTTTTTTTAATTGAAAAATATTATTAATTTAGCCTGTTGCAGCTTATAAGCAGCTCCAAGCTTTTAGACGTGGCGTGCAACCTCCTGAGGGAGCCGCTCTGGTTAGCTGCTTTTGGCCGCACTCGGCCCACAAGGAAGCAGCAGCAGGCCCCAGCCTACGGCTGGCTCCTCCGCAGGGCCCCCCAGGACCGGGGGCTGCAGACCAACTGGGGTCCCTGGGTGCAGTACCGAGGTCCCGAAACGGGGCTGCTGCTCCCGAAAACCTGCCCCAGTGCTCTTCCTTCCCTGGGGCTCCTGCCACAACCTGCTCAATGCAGCTTACAGCAGAGAGGGGAAAGGGAGGCAGCTTGCCAGCACGGTGACAAGGGCTTGCCCAGGGAAGCTCGGGGAGAGGTGGGTTTCTCTAGTGCAGGATTTCAGGTACTGCAGAACGTCCTCTCCGGTCTGTGCTGTCCCCAGGTTGTTTTGGTTTGGTGTGTGAAACCTGATGGGGTTGCATGTTACAAATAAAACTTTATATTTATATTGGATTCATATTTAGTTATGGCTTAATGTTTGAATAGTTTTGCAGTCTGGTCCTGCATCTGCGAGGAGAAACAACCGGGCACTGCAGGACAAACGCCTCAGCATGGAGTGAAGCAAGCAGTACATAACCAAAACAAAGCATTCAATTCCCACGCTGTAGGGTCTTTTGCGGTGCCAGAAAAGATCTCCATTACAAAAATCAAACTCGACTATAGCGTGCGGTTCCCAACTGCCAGGTGCACAGTGCTCCGGAGCTGGAAAAGCACGTACATCTCTAGCAGTGAGGCAGTGGGGTAGGGCTCAGACGTCCATGCATGTAAACATCACCCTTGAGAAAACTCTGCAGGTAAGAACCTGCGCCCCGTACTCACAATGTAACAGTCAGCGTAGACACAAACAGTGCTCCAGATACAGAGGTTCTCCTCTTGCCTTTTCTCCACTAGCTGCAGCAAAATGGCTGTTGGTGAACTCAAAGGATGCTTTCTCTTGAGGGAGTTCAGAGAAAAAAAATAAACAATTGCAGATGAGGAAGGAAAGAAAAAAAAAAGGATCCCCCCCACTTCCTCCCAGCCTAGGAGATCTGATAGCAAAGTGACAAGAAGTTTAGGTGCAGTAGAGCTTTATGTTGCCATTTGTTTTAGGCTTTGGTTCTGAAAAGCAAATAAAAAACCCACAACAAATCCAAAACTCACATATGGTTAAACAGTCATCCTAAGTGGTCATGAAATATTTGCACTAGTGGAGAGGAGCTGCCAGGAGGGAAAGGAGCGCCTAAAATTCTGGCTATTCTTTTCTAGTTTGTTTACCACATGCAGATTGCTCCG